GTACCTACAGAATCCGAAGAACCTGAAGTACCTACAGAATCCGAAGAACCTGAAGTACCTACAGAATCCGAAGAACCTGAAGTACCTACAGAATCCGAAGAACCCGAAGTACCTACAGAATCCGAAGAACCTGAAGCACCTAAAGGACCTAAAACACCTAAAGCACCTACAGAATCCGAAGCACCTACAGAACCTGAAGCACCTGAAGCACCTACAGAACCTGAAGTACCTGAAACACCTACAGAACCTGAAGCGCCTGAAACACCTAAGGTGCACATACAAGAAGGAAAGGACGAAAAAGCGATAATTCCGGAAATCAAGGGTCCCCTTCACAAAACTATCACAAATGTTGCTGTAGCCGATGTATTTAAACCCGGAATAATCCAATTTCATTTTTCGTTTAGCAATTATGGAGACAAAACAATCATTTTAGGATTATTTAACCTTTTTCATTGCAAGCCTGAATATTTGAGTGTATCAACTGGTGAAATCAACCTTAATAAACTAGATAAATTCGTAGAAGCGCTGGAAAATTCACAAATTGTTGATTATGGATATGGTAGTCCGGCCATTCGCCTTGTTATTTATCGTCCGCTTGATGTATTTGTGGGGAAAAAGTTTGTCGTTTATTGCAAGCGACATGTAATTGCAACTACTACAATCGAAGATAGCACTGGTATTGATCATATTTATGATACGTTATAGAATAGACATTTATTTTTTTTTATCCATTTGTATAAAACAAAAAACAAAAAAAAGAAACAAAAAAAAAACAAAAATGAATCTATTTTATAATGAAGAACTTTCCACTTTATGTAGAACAAAATAAATTTTATATAATTGATATCATTATTTCATCGTTGATTTATAAGATTTGATTATATTTTTTTGATATCGAGCAAGAATATCAGAAAGTTGAGATGTATAAAAACATATCAAATTTAAATAGATATTTTTTTTCTAAAGTCCATTGTGTAGATTCTTGATAGCGGAAGGGCAATATCTGTACATATTCTTCATAGCAATGAGCATGTATAAAAAGAGACAAAACAGATATTTTAGATATTTTAATTCATTAGCTACAAAAAAAATTCCGGATAAATTATGATCATTTTTGAATAAAATTGACTATTTGTCGACTAATACTCGAAAACTCGCTTTATAAAATCATATGAGATTTGAAGTGTAAATGCTTAAACCCACATTTAAAAGTTCGAATTGTTTAAATAGCATTTTAGGTCTGAGCGACCATTTTCGTCATATCAGCTTTTAGATTAATTAATCTTACTTGGCCTCAAAGTTTTTTATTACGTAATTAAAAACAGTTTATGATTATGATATTAACTATTCGGATTTTAATCATCAGCTGCTTTAAATCGGTGAAAAAAATGTTTAAACTGTTTTTTTTTTTTTTTTACCATCCCTAGTCTGAGATGAAACCGTATTAATAATTTTGTTACCCATACAAAATATTATTTATATAACAAATAAACTATTTCGATCGAATAAAATTCTAAATTATCTAACAAATAAACTATTCGATCGATTAGTGTAAGTAAAAATTTCACAAAAAAGCCTATTTGTAATAAATAATACATTGACTTATGTTTCGTCTTCGGCCATATAATATACATACATGATGCATGTGCATGAAGACTGGCATTCTGACGGTTGCTTGACAAGTACATGCAAATTTCTTTAGTTATCGTAACATATTTTTCTTCTCGTTATAATATTGAGCTTTAATTCTATTATCTCATCTAACATTTTTTAACCAGTTTTCTATTAATTCTATGTAATTCACGCGATCTTTATTACTTTCATTCTTAACAGATATTCATTGAGTATCGTAAATTAATCATGAAAACATAATAATAACAATGAGTTAAAAAAAAAGCCTTGTGGTATAAAAATAGGCTTAAATCAATTACGTAATTATTCATAATTGATGAATGTTTGGCAAAATCATTTAATATAAGAAAATGGATAATGTTAATCCTGTAATCCTTAAATCATGCATATATATCGGTAATGTTTATGTATTTTTCATGGTGAACGCATACTCATCATAGTTCACCACATTCGAACCACACATAATTAGCAGCTTTGCCTCAAACCTCATCTATGTTGCGGACCATCTGTTTCAGGTTATTTATTGCTGTATTGTATTGATTGAAAAAGGATAGATCAAAAATATAAAAAGCGGACATCATCTCGTTACAGTTCAATCGTTAGTTGACACAACACTTGATAAAGCAAGCGAGAAAGAAAATCAGCCTGTCCTGGAGACAACTAGATTATTTCTTGGAAAAAAGATACTTGCTAAAATGTCGACTAGTGTTAATAACAGTTAT